GAATATTCAACCATATCATAATACAAAAGCACTCTATCGAAAAATCTTATCTTCAAGGCATTAAGTTACTCCGCGCAATCGTTGACTCACCCTGTATAATTATGTAGTTTTGTTCAAATTATAGCGCGCCCAAACAAGCTAAGGTTGATACAATACTATATCCCTGTCAGTGGTTATGGGTTTCGTGAAAACCGTAGAACAATGTCGTATTTCGTTCCCCAGTTACCCTTTAAATGTGTCACCCTGTAGGTGTATTAGAATAAGGTACATAGATATTCACGTTAACCCTTAGGGTACTAACAGGGGTTTCTCAGGGATCCCAAACTAGTGATGCAGCAGTTCGAGCCGAGACTAACCATGAGTCTCGTCTCGTTTGTCTCGAAGTCTTTTTTGTATTTATTTGTACTTTTTTTTTTAATTTTAATCAGGAAAATTCATTCAAGTAGTACAAATTCCAATTGTTTACATAAACTCTCCCTGACCTTACCGATTTAGAATAGGTAACTCGTAACTGTAATTTTCTTAAATCCAGGAAGCCTTCGACAGCTTTATTTTCTTCTATTGGCGGACAATTCATTATTAAACCTGTACCCTCATGACGTACAGGCCAGGTGGCAATCGCCCCCCGCCCCACCCCGGGCCAGTCCGCTCCTGCAAATAATTTTATCGAATTGGTTAATTATGGCCACTGGTGAGAGCCCCCCTTAAAGCTTGGGTAAAAGCACCCAGACTAGATCAGAGGAAATATTAAACCGTGAATCATTACAAATCATCTATTCAATAGATTTGATTCCAATACTTAATTTAGCTCTAACTTACGAATTGCGGACGCATTTTCATTTTGGCTGCCACTTGAAGATATTCCACCACGCAATTAATAAGTAGTATACTTAGGTGTGTATCAACCCCATTTGGAAACTATATAAAAATAGAATTCGCGGCGTGGCAAATACAAAAAACTGACACTAATTTGTCACATCGTTTGTGGGACTAATCTTAATCTCGACTTCCGTCTCGAAATGTTTGTGTAAATTCGTACGTGTGACAGTTTGTATACATCCTATTTTATGGAAAAGCTCAAATTGTCAACAAATAATTTACGTTGGGATTCGGCCAAAATTTATACTGGCAATTAACCAAGCATAATTTCGCTAGACGAGGATCGTTCAACTGTATCAACAGTTTTAATAACAGCGTCCGCCAGGCGAAGCGAAAACGAGGCGAGGTAAAATACACACATACACAATTATAACGCACAATTTTAACATTGTGTATTGTATGCAGAGCCATGAAGGCATCGGGATGCGGGCCTATTATTGTTTAATCTCTTTAATGGATACTCTGCACTATACTTCAATTAGTGCTTAACGAGCACAACAAAGAAATTTTACGAACGTTGCTACTTTTCTCACTGAACTATAATAATCCAATTGAGATAATTGAAGATTTGCGCAATATGGTGTTCGAAATCCATTGTTAAAATAAATTAAACTTCATATATGAATAAATGGGCATTTAAATAAATTACTTCGGATGTCGCGCGACTGGAAATGTCACTTAGATACTCGTTACCTTCTTGTATCTATTCTTTCTTTTACATTTTTGCTACTTTCATTTGTGGATCCCAGGGTGGATCCTGTCTAGCCCCTCGTCATGTGTCAAATTTTGAACTCGAGTTGAAAAACTCCACTTTCTTCTCTAGTTGGACAAAGAACTATTTCCGTCTGTATGTACGTGCGTGCGAGGTAACGGCTCGACGGATTTTGTTCAAATTTTGGATATGTATGCACGGAAACGAAAAATAACAGGCCGGATTTTTGAAAAAAATTTCGGAGCGCCGCAACGGCATCGGAACTTTTCTTTCAAATAGCAACCTAAAATTTTAAAGTATTTAAAGACCTTATTTTTCTGTGTATAACCCATAAAAATTGTGCCAGGTTTTATCATAAAAAACTGAGAAATGTCAAAGTTAAAAAACTAAAAAAAAATTTTCGCAAAAACGGTTACTATGATTTCGTTAAAATTTTGCAAATGTGCATTAGGCATAAAGGATATAAAACTGTCAAAAACTTTTTAAAAATATTTTTCTATATCCGTACCCTTTACCTAAGGATAATATAGTTTTGTGTTTAGACTTTAATATATGAATTATTAGTAATAAGTATTAGTAACACAAACAAGAGTAAAAAAGCGTGCGAAGATGTTAAGCGGTGAAGAGTTGAGCTAGAAAGCTGGTGTGTCAAGAATTTGGCACATTTTTGGAACTAGTTAAAATTTGACAGACGTTTGTCGCATCTGTAGCCAGCAGATTCGCGTTGTCGCCGTGCTAAAAGGTCCTTAGGTAATTACGCGCGTGTTTTAAACGTTGTGTAAACAATACCTATTTGGCGTTCTATTTGTAAAATTATATTACCTATTAATCTTTCTCTGCACTCAAAAAAATTGCGATAATTTGCATACAAATACCGGCATTTTGGGAACCTTTTTGATTTATTTTTTTCGCAAATTATTATTAACAATGGTGGATACTGGATAGACAAACTCATTTTAACCAATTTGGACCACCCTCCTATAAAAAACTGCAAATGTTTCTTCGCAATTAAAGAAATTAGTTAACCCAAGTTTCTACCGCCATTTTAACCACCATCTTGATTTTTTCGGCTACACATTTTTTTATAGGATAGTAATAAATAGTAAACCGTATGTACTAGATAAAAATCGTGATAAGGATCTTATTAAACTACACGCCCAAATTTTTTAATTTTTAATAATTATATAACAATCAACCAACAAACGTAAAAATGTAACTAACAAACACCAACAAACGAGCAACAAACGATTACAATAAAAATATTTTGAAAATTCAAAAAGTGGGGGGGGGGGCTAATTATACCCCCAAATTTTGAATTTTGAATAATTAAATAACGATCAACCAACAATCGTAAAGATGTAAGTAACAAACACCAACAAACGAGCAACAAACGATTACAATAAAAATATTTTGAAAATTCAAAAAGTGGGGGGGGGCTAATTATACCCCCAAATTTTGAATTTTGAATAATTAAATAACGATCAACCAACAATCGTAAAGATGTAAGTAACAAACACCAACAAACGAGCAACAAACGATTACAATAAAAATATTTTGAAAATTCAAAAAGTGGGGGGGGGCTAATTATACCCCCAAATTTTGAATTTTGAATAATTAAATAACGATCAACCAACAATCGTAAAGATGTAAGTAACAAACACCAACAAACGAGCAACAAACGATTACAATAAAAATATTTTGAAAATTCAAAAAGTGGGGGGGGGCTAATTATACCCCCAAATTTTGAATTTTGAATAATTAAATAACGATCAACCAACAATCGTAAAGATGTAACTAACAAACACCAACAAACGAGCAACAAACGATTGCAATAAAAATATTTTGAACATTCAAAAAGCGGGGGGCTAACTTGACGGCGGTGTATCTGTTGTATTCAGTGTTTCAACGTGATACAATTGCATTTTTAAACTTTTACAAACTCGAATAAATTATTAACAGCGAAAGTGCGAAAGCAAAATAAGTAATAAGTAAACGACATTATACTGGAACATCCAAGGCGCATTGAGAAAAATAAACCGAAAATGACAATTTTACTATTCATATAATGTAAGTAGTGAAAATTAGCATAGATAGAGGTGAATTGGGCATCGAAAAAAAGAGGCACCAGCAAGTGATGGCAATTAAAGAGATAATTTTTGGTCATAGGTACCATTTAAAGTGGTCAAGTAGCTTTTATTTAAACGATACCGCAGAGTAATATAAATATTCATGAATTAATTGTCACTAACAATTCCCAAGGATTTCAACTTTTATACGTACAACGTAAAAATCCCGTGTACAATAACAGTTTAGTAGTAGGTAGTTGTCTTTGCAACAATGAACGTTGTAAGTACTTTCGTTTTCTCATGCCTGATTTTAATGAGTAAGTACTTACTTTTAAAGTACCAGTGTGGAAAGAAAATTACGCCAGCCCGAAAATAGAGTGTCCATTTTAACCGTTTCGTAAATAGAAACTTGTGGATAAAATAAAAGACAAAGATGAAATATCTTGACGTGATTTTCTGTGCCAATGGTTTTAGATATACCAATCCAGAAACATTGTGCTTTTCCTCAACTAGCTACCAGAACTGTTTTTAAATGTTATTTACTAATTTGGCATTCCATTGAAGTTATAAAATGCCAACTGAAATTGATTTTTTAAATTCAATTTTGGATTACAGTAAACGCTCACATTTATGACGACCGTGGAACGCTTATCTACGAAGACTTGTCATGTAAACCAATAAAGCAACGTCCGTCCGATCCGCTTCCAGCAAGCTACGATTGTGATGAGGCGTTCAGCAAACCTTGCTACTACAAAGGCAAAAATTATAATTTGAACAAACCCGTGGAATGGCAACAGTCGCTTACCGCCTGCAGTAGCAGTTGCAGATGCAAAGAGAATGGGTAAGGTGCCGCCTATGTGCATTGTAACCAAGTTTTTACGTGGCAGGTTCCTGTGTGCGGATTTAAGGTGTCCAGAAATCGGGCTGGTCACCTTAACGTCACCGGATTGCTTTCACATTTATTCGATTAATGAGTGCTGTAACGTGGGGCAAGTGTGTCGTAGGTTTACATGCGTTTTTATACAGGGTGGTGACGTGCGTAACGCATCATAGGGATTTCAATGTAAAATTCATAACATGCGATTATTGGCTCCCCAAATTATTTTAAAGCAAAAATGTATTAAGGTTTTTTGTAGAAAAAAATTTTTACGTCAATCAACCGTATTAGTTTTTTTTGCATAATAAAGATGGAAAATTGGAAAAATAAAACTCACATCTTTTTCAATAATCTGTAATGCCATGGAATTTTATAATACAAAAACCACGCCAATATGCCGTCATGCCATGGAATGTCTACTATAAAACAAATCAAATTCTATCAAAAAGTATTATATTTAGAACAGCGAATTCAACATAAAGAAAGACCAAATTACTAAAAACGGTTTCCTAATATAACAATTTACAATAAATGTTCGAATAAGTCACCATTAACTGCAAGACAGTAACCAAGTCGATCATAAAATCCATTTCGAACTGCTGCTAATTGATAACTGGATATCTTTTTGTTTTAGAAAATTCCATGGCATCGCAGATTATTGAAAAAGATGCGAGTTTTATTTCTCCAATTTTCCGTCTTTATAAAAAAAAATTGAAAACTAATACGGGTGATTGGTGTAAAAAATTTTTTTCTACAAAAAACCTTAATACATTTTTGCTCTAAAATAATTTGGGGAGCCAATAATCGCATGTTATGAATTTTACATTGAAATCCCTATGATGCGTTACGCAAGTCGCCACCCTGTAAAGTGCGTACAGTAAAAGAAAACCGTTTCAGCACCATTTGAGAATCTTCCCACTTGCGTAGTTGATGGAAAGACGTACATGAAAGGGCAAAAGTTTTTCCCAAACAATACTGTCCTCCATTGCGTTTGCGATGAAAACTTTAATGGCAAATACGAAGCGCCACACTGTCGAAAAATCAATTGCGGTATAAAACTGAAGTACGCGGAGGAAATTGGCAAACGCTGTGCTCCATTTTATGATGATAGAGCGGAGAAGAAGTGCCCTTCTTCTTGGATATGTCGTAAGTTGCGAACGTCCCCAATCCACCCCTGGGTAATTTATCTGTTTTAGCCTCCGATGATATGAAAGACAGCGTTATATCTGTTTCTAATAAATTGGGGAACGAATTAGGTGCGTAGGTATGGTACGATCACGAAAAATTAAAAAATAATGTTTCAGCTTGCTCATATGGAGACAGAAAAATACCTTTTCAAGATTTCTTTGAGAGAAAGTCTACTAACTTTCTTCATCCACCTAAAACCATGATACGCTGTACATGTTCGGTACCTCCTCTTCTAACATGCGCTATAATGAATTAGTAATCGCGTCAATAATTTAATTGAGACGTTTCTCTTTCTCTGAGCTGTACAGTAGCGGAGATAATTACAACCAGTTAACATAGGAAAATATAATGTTAATAACAAATAATTGATAGATTCTTAAAACAAGCAAATAAAAAGATCCTCTCGTAATGACAATACTTAAAAACAAACATACGAATCAAACTGAAAACAAAACTACATAAGACAATTAAATCAATAAATGACATCCTCTTTTACCCTAAACAATTTAAAAAAACTCAGTCGTTTTAAATTCACACTGCTATAAAGATAAAGGACGTTAATTACCGCGAAAGACAGTTTCAATTAATTAAAAAACGCGCCAAAATCGGCAGAAATTACAAGTTCCTTCTGCAACCTAAACTCTTCCAGAATCCGGCAGTACAATATTCTCAAAATTGGTGAGGCTGTACTCGTATACCGAGTACTCCTGGGGAATGTTAATTGGCTCGCGAGTTTCGGGATACACTGGTACTTATGTTTATTCTTACTCTCTGAATGGTCTTTCGCATGATATTTCAATTTGAGAGAATTTCTTTGACGGCAGCTGGAACGTTTTTGAAAAAAATGCAAAACAACATTCCCTGCCGCACTGCACGTGTGCAGATTTTCGATGGAAACTACCATCCACAATCTTGGCCATATGATTCCTTTGCAATTTTCATCTTTATTTTCAGCGCCAGAATTGGATAGTGTTGTCAGTACTAGTTTTATCCTTGGTGTAGAGATGTCCCTCCCAGGAATATTTCGCCTGACCTCTTTGGCTGAGCACGGTTTCCATTCCACTAAACAAAAAACCTAAAACTGGTTAATTCGTTGAAACAGTATTTTGACAGGGGCCATTCCATACCATCTCACAGCTAATTGCAATGGCCAACATTTATTTTTTTGGACTTCTTTTTCTTTTCAATAAAAGAGTGGAAACCAGTTTCCCTCAAAACTTTTTTTTATTCAACTTAAACTTTTTTCTTAATTTTCTCGAACATGGATGTACATTGATTCTGATTGACATAATTGATTGAAATTTATTTTCTTTTATTTAGAAAAGGGTTCAGCGAAAAGCTTTTCAAACATCGTCGAATTTCTAGTTGATAGTAAATTTTAATGAAACATTTTTTTAGGGGAACTGTTGTACACTTGTCCTTTGAGAATGACGCTCAAAAAATAGATTTCGACGAAATCTGAGGTTAACCATAGCAATTCTCCGTGATATGGTATGGAATGACCCATAAACATAATTTCTTACTGTGCACCTATAAATGAACTAAACACGAAACTCGCAAAATAAATATACGGGTCATTTTAGTAAGTGAATAATAGCAATATGTTAATGAACAATCGAATTTTTTAATAAAAACCAGAATTTAACTGTAATAAATGTTCAAATTGCCTAAAATGGCACTCAAAAATGTTTGTATAAACATTTATACATTTTTGAAGCCAGGATTTTTTTTTATTAGATAACCTAAATCTTTAAAATGGCTCCCATATGAAAAACAAAAGTTGGTATCGATATCACATAAAGTATTAATGATAACGAAAATTCATTTCCATCATCTAAAAGAACAGAAAAAGTTCCCTACAGAAAGTCTGTTTAGTTAGTTGTTGGGTTGGCTAGTATAGGTAGTGCAAAAAACATTTTTTCTTTTTTCTATTAAAATATTATAACATTTTTTATTAGAATGTTCTATACTTTCAAAAGCAAAAGAAGGACTCTTGATTTGTTTGATCCGCCAGTATTTTGACACGTAAACAGAATATACATACATTTGCTTAAAAATCCCTTAATAGGGATCTTTTTAGGTAGATTTCTTCTACCTATTCTAAAAGTGCTGGTATATTTATAGATTTATAGGATTATACAGTGTGTCCCCGGATGGACTGAACAAGAGGGAAAAAATTTTTAATTTGAACTTTACGCAAAAATGTCATTTTTTATAAAAATTTTTGCTTGCCGCAAAACCACCTATTCTGAAATAAAAATCTAGATATTCCTTTTAGTAGCTGAGAAAATTACAAGAAACGCAAAATATACAGCGGAAATTTTTCTAAGTTGCATGTTTTTGTTTGAATCAGACTATCATTGTATCTTCCATGGCAACCTGATAAGCAAATCAAGTTAAAAAAGACACCTTAGAGCTTAAGGGAAACATTTTATTCTATTCAATGTGGTATCCTCCAACCTCTACACACGTTTCAGCTCTACATACAAATTCTTTATAAACATTGTGGATCGTATCTTCATTGGCAGAATTTATCGCTTCCGTGATTTTTTGCCATGGAAGATAGTCTGATTTAATCAAAAACATGCAACTTTTGGGTTTTTTGCAATTTTCTCAGCTGCTAAAAGGAATATATAGATTTTTATTTCAGAATAGGTGGTTTTGAGGCAAGCAAAAATTTTTATAAAGAATGACATTTTTGCGTAAAGTTAAAATTAAAAATTTTTCCCTCTTGTTCATTCCATCCGGGGACACACTATATGTTTATAAGTTTATACAGGGTGTAGCACCTAAGATCCATCGGATCATAACTCCTTTACCATAAAAGATTCCGAAAAAAGTCTTAGAGCAAAATTGTATACAATTACCGCCGTATGTTTCTAAAATATTTTTGAACACCAGGGGCGTGCTGTATTCCAGTGGCGTATCAAACTTGCATTTTTTTAAACGGAACACTCCACATTTTATTACTGATTTGGAGAGTACTTGAAAACTACTTATTTTTTTATGTAACATGTTATACCCCTAACTTTAACGATTTCGCTGTTATAACCTTTTTTGTTAACATTTGACAGTTTTCTCGACATTTTTTTGAGAGAAACTAAATCGCGGAGGCGACTAATTTTTGGACTGAGGCACATAATTTTTTTAGGTACTTGATCAAAAAAGTAACATTTCTGATTGACTTTCGCTAAATGTCATATTTTTTAAAAATTTCAAATGATACCCGCCTAAACAAATTATACCTTTGGGTAGCCAAAACTACAAATTTTCCACTGATATAAACCAAACCACACATTCCATAAGAAAATTTCAAAAGAAAACACCAAGTCTTTAATTGTACTCGAAGAAAAAAGTCACACGGAATGATCGGGGAGGCAATTTTATGAAACTTCTCTCTCTGTGATAGAGCACGCCCGATCCGTAAATATCTGAAATATTGGAGCATTTCAGGTAAAATACAGTAGGTAGGCATTTGCCATAGAATAAAAGAAAACCAAAAGAAAAATATTTCCGGGTTCTAAAAAATGAGCATTTGTTTTCACTAGACTAGGTACTCGAATTGGGAATATTGACAGGAATATATTAGGTATTGCCCTTTCCGATTGTGCAACAATTTTCTAAAAAATTCCTACCCAACGCAAAAAAATACCTACACACGGATTTAGTTGGTTGGTAATAGGTACTACCTAGTAGGAAAATTCGAAATCAATACTTTAGTACGTTGTATCACTGTTTGAACTGATTTTACAATATACACGGTGTCCATTTTTCGAGTGCCACTATGGGGATCTCGTTTACCTGGAGAGATAGAGAGTTGGTTAAATGGGGGCAAAGTTGCGAATTTTCGTGCTGAATAATAATCTGAAAAGAAATTAAAAATATCTTTAGTAGTTTTGAAAATATCGCAAAAAAACATTATTCAGACAATTTTTAATTTTTCGGGAAGAGTGCTTTGGAAAAACAAAACGTTCTTTTATCGTGAACAAAAGTTTGACAGTTTGATCCATCTGTCTGGTTGGAGCGTTGGCAGGGAACTAGTTGAGTTGAGATTTTCATCTGAATAGAATTGAACCTTCGTTTTGCAAGAAAATTATAATTCAAATTAGAACAAAATACTTAAGAATAAATAATATTTTCGCAATAAATCTAGCACAAACGTAAATTACACTACTTGAAATAAGTCAACCTGTTGTTCACAACAAAAGAACGTTTTGTTTTTCCAAAGCACTCTTCGCAGAAAATGAAAACTGTAATTTTAGGAAAAATGTGTTACTGAATCATACCATGTGTGATATATCGTTGTAAAGAGAAATAAAGACGTAATCTCAAAATGTCAAAATCCAAAACGGCACCCATAAGAAAAATTAAAGTTGCCGCGTGTTTCTCAGTCATCTTAAAAGTTATTGAAAACGGGATGCCATATTCAAAATCTCCTTGAAAAAGTGTCGCAATAATGTGTTAATTAGAAATGTCTAGAATGATTAGTTTACTATGAAAAAATTAAAAACGAAAATCAGAAATTCTCTTTTTTTTGCAATATTTTCAAAACTATTGAAGATATTTTAAATTTCTTTTCAGATTATTATTCAACACGAAAATTCGCAACTTTGCCCTCATTTAACCAAATGTCTATCTCTTAAGATATGCGAGATCCCCAGAGTGGCACTCGAAAAATGGACACCGTGTATACAGAATACAATAATGTGGTATTGAATTCAGCTATACCTTTTTGCAGTGACCGATAACTGCTAAACTCCTTAAAAACAGACCTACAGGAAACCGAAAATACTAAGGGTTGAGTGCGATTTTCTACTTAGACTGCGCATCGAAAGGTTCAATTTTTTATTCTTAAAGGGGTTCTTTCGGTTGCTAGTTTCGGCTCTGGCCCGGTCGTCAAAGCAGATTAGGTGTATCACGCATGGTGGTAACAAAATAAAGCGTGGAGGGTGAGTTAACTCCATATTTTTAATACATGACATACACCTTTTTCAGTTATTCTTAAAAATTTTCAAATAGTGGGATATTACGAATTGTTTTGCAGTATTTGTCTTTTAGATTCTTCCGGTTTTATTTATAAGATTAACCGCCATTCGCTTTTACCCATTTTCCCTTTTGCTTCTAAGTTGGCCGTGATTTTATAGAGTTATTTTCTTTACCATATTGCCAACCTGAATCAGTAACGAAACCTTTGCTGTACATTGTTCAAAATTCATAAAATATGTGTGTCCCACCATCGAGTAATTTTTTAGTGATCAGTGGCAAAACTTTGCAAGAAATTACCTTTCTAACAGTTTCTATGTGAAATTAAATCTCGTTTGGTACATTGCAATGTAATCTGCACGTATAGGCGCAGCACGACGCTGAAACGCGCATGGGGTGGTTTTGTGAGCAAAGGTACGTAAGTGCTCTACA